CCGTGGCAGCCCCCCGCGCGGCGGTGACGCTAGAGGCGCGGCGGAAGTCATCAGTGCATTGAGGATAGCGCGCGGAGCGGCGCGCGGAGCGGGCTGGGCGAGGCAAGGCGAGGGCATTGACAGGCGCTCGGGGCGCGCCACGCCGTCCAAAGCCCTTGCTGCTCGCCCGCGTGCAGTCACCGAGCGGCGCAGCGGCGGCAGGCTCGCGCCTTGCATGGCGAGTCGCTCAATTTACGAGACCCGAAGGGGGAACCGCCTACGAGAGCTGGCCGGCCTTTTTATATCTTTCGTTGCAATTTATCGTTGTCTTAAGGACGCGATTCACCTCGGGGAGCAGATTGGAACCCCCCCTCCCCCTCACCCTCTCTTCCCTCCCGCTCGCAAGAGTCTTGAGCCCGGAGGTATTTGAGCCTAAAATAACGGGAATCGCATACAGATGTGTGGTCGTCCATCTGTTTGTTGTACGGGTGTAATTGTGTTCTCGCCGAGCCGAGGTGGCTTCCTAAACAAGCGGGAACGTTCGCATGATGCGAGCCGGGCGGAGCCGCGCGCCCCTCGCGCCGTTACGCCTCAGCCCGCCCCACGCGGGTCGCCGCACCAAGCCCGTCGTGCAGTTGGGGAGCAGGCCGCGCGGCCAGAGCGCCGGCCAGGCCAACCAGCCCCCTCTAGCAGGCACTTCGTGCAGGTGCCCCGCTCCGCCCCGCCCGGCCCCGCCCCAGGACCGAAGGCATGCCGTCGACCCGCTCCGTTCGGCATTTTGGCAATGACCGGTCAATGGGCCTTGGGCTCGCCTTTGGCTGGTGCCAATGAACGCATCGGCCCGCCGCCCCGGCCGGCCATTCCCCTCCTCCAGCTGGGCCGCGCCTGCCGGCCGGGCTCGGGCCGCCTCCAGCAGTCCAGGCGCAGCGGCGGCGCGGCGCAAGCCAAGCCGGAGGGGGGGCGGGAGGGCAGGAGGCAGGAGGCGGAGCGGGAGCAGCGGAGGCAGCGGAGCAGCAGTGCATCGTCCGCTCCAGCACGCCCTGCAGCCCGCGCTCCAGCGCCGATCGTGGAGCGCGGGGACGAATCAAAAGAGGCCCGCGTAAATAGCAGAGAAAATTACGAAAGAAGATGAGTTGATGCAATTATTTGACAAACCCAGCAGTCGATCATTTTTTACGCCAAAACTGAGGTGTAACCCCTTTCGATTCCCCCTTTGCTTCCCTTACCCCTGTACCCAGCCCGTTAGCCCCCTCCGCGGTTGGTTCTCTACCCAATGGGCTCCGCCACCCTGCCAGCCCCCCACTGCACGGCCCGGGCCCGGCTCCGGCCCCCGGACCTACCCCCACAACTGCGGCGTTGGGGGTGGCGCACTGCTCAGCAGGAAGAGGGGGACGCTGAGCTGCTGCAGCTGGAGGCAACTGCCGCCGGCCTCGGTGAAATATGGCGAGCGCTTTTGGGGGCTGCGAGAACGGGGGGAGAGAGAGGTGATTCCCACCCCCTCGCCCTCGGCTATTTCCCGTTCCCCCCCTGAGCTGCTACCGCTACCCGCCCGTCCTCCTCACACAGGGCACAGCGGGCACAGCCTCTCCGTGGGTCCTGCGGGCCGCGGGCCCCTGCGGGCCAACGACCGAAAGGAAAGGGGGTGACGAGCCGACGGCCGAGAGGAAGGGGGAGGGGCGGGGGAGGGGAAAAGGAGTAAAAAGGAGGGGGGAGGGGCGCTCCAGACCACCGCCCCAGCTCGACCACTCCGGACCGTGCGCGCTGGGCGCTGTGCGCCCTCCTGCACCCACCGAAATTCACTTGGAGTTCGCTCGTCGAGGTAACGATTGTGGGAGGAGGCCCGGGTAGGTTGCGAGGCG